GGGAGAAAAAAAAAAAAATTTTTTTTGGGTTTGGGGGGAGGGGGGGGGGGGTTTTTATAATTTTTTTAAATTTTAGGGTTTATTTTTTTTAAAAAAAAAAAAGGGGTTTTTTTTTTTTATTTAGTGAAAAAGTTTTTTTTAAAAAAAAGTTTTGGGTTTTTTTTTTTTTTTTAAAAAAGGGGGGGGTTTTTTTTGAGGGTGGATTATTTGGGGTTATGGGTTTTTTTTTGGGTTTTTTTGGTTGGGAAAATAAAAAAAAAAATTTTTTTTTTTTTTTAATTTTTGGTTTTGGGGGGGTAAAATTTTTTAAAAAAATAAAAAAAAAAAAAGGGGGGAATTAAAAGATTTTTTGAAAGGGTTTTTTTTTTTTAATTTTTTTTTTTTTTGAAAAAAAAAAAGAGGGACACGGGGGGTTTGGGGGGGGGGGGGGGGGGGGGGGGGGGGGGCGTACTCATGTTTCACTTGCCTTAGCTGCAAGACCATCGACCTCGAGCGGACCGAGCGTGGTTCGCAAAGGACTGATCACCGATAGCAAATCGCTCCTTCCTACGTTGTCGTCAAAGATGAATCAAACATGCTTTCCCTATCCTATGGGTTCCCCTTCCTGCTTTTCATGCCCACTTCCAATTTAGAGCTTCGTTGGGGGGGTTCAGCCAGCGATGCCGCCGCATGAACAGGAGAGCGAAGCAGACCGCTTGAGACGGGGCTCGAACGAAAGAGGTAAGAGGTGCAGGTGCCATGCGGTGGTGGTGTAGGCGGTGGTGGTTTCGCGACGTTGCTTGCCCAGAGACGCCTCTCTGTCCGGAGGTGCCATCGTCCAGAAAGGAGCCCAAGACCGGAACATTGCAGCTGCTGCTGTTGCTGCTGCAGGGATGCTGGTACAGCACACACCAGACCTCTACATTGCTCTAAATACTAAATACCACCCTGTTCTGGCAACTACACGAGACACATATACCATGCAACCAATGGGTACGGTATTTTTTATGTCTACATGTTGCTCTACTGCACTTCTTCTGGCAACTACACGTGATACTCACCATGCAACCATGGCATGTTTGTTTGTCTATTTACGTGTTGCGTGCAAAAGCTGAATATTCGTTTTCATGGGTTTGCCGAGAAGCCACGACAACAGCACGTCGAGGTCGTTCTCTTCCGAAATAGCGCAGTTTTCCAACATTCTAACGGCGTTCGTTGTCATGAACGTACTAGAATGGCCCGGGACATTGGCTGGTACTGCTGAAGTCCCCTCTGTTTCGTGAGCGAATGTATGTATTGTGGGAGCTGCTGTGCATGCAGCTGCTCCGTGTATTTACAGCAGTGAATGCGCTTGTAGAGAGACGGCAACCATTGACCAACGGCGTGATGATCTCGCCGCTTCACAGATTATTCCTCGACGGAAGAAGATGCCGAACGACACATACCGTAAGAGTCGGAGAGATGGCACCCCCGTGTTAGCGTTTCTTTGTAGCGTATTTCTCCACAACTAGAAGAGTGCGAACACCAACCGATACCTCTCAGGAAAGCTCTCGACGAGATGTTTCCAAAACTACCCTTTTCGGCAGTGGTACCCCCCTGGTTGTGGAGAAATACGCTACACGTTGTATACAAAAACGCTAACACGGGGATGCCATCTCTCCGACTCTTACGGCACATCCTAGACCGCTCCAATGGCGGCATGCTCGGTCAATTCAACTTTCCCCGCGAGAAGAAACGAACGGTCAAACGCAAAACAGGTGAAGGTTTGTCTATCCCACTTCCAAGTACAATGTCCCGCCGTGTGTCCGTCTGCATGTACTCGTCGAGCTTAGGAGGGACGGAGTACATAGCAGAATGCACCGCACAAACTGCGAGCGATTCACACGAAGCCATCGCGACTGCTCGCCGCCGGTCGATCAAACCTATGTGTCCAACTCGTGCACTTCAGTGCAGCGCGAGATGAATCATTTCGACAAACACGGCACCAAGGTTGCACTTCGAGCGAACCGCCGAGCGAAGCTCCCGGCTAGTCGGCGAAACTCAACACTCGGGTGTAAAGTTACCGAACACACCTTGAGACACACGGCTGGACATAGGAGTGCTCTCCCGCAGCTACCCACGAAGACGAGGTGCGAAGGGGGTGTTCGTCGAGAGACAGAGGCGCTCCACGCCCAGAGGAGTGCTGCTGCTCATTGCTCTCTGCCGTGCAGCGAAACTGCTGTTGAACTGCACTCTCGTCAGGTGCAAAAAAATACAGAGACGCCCAGGGAGCAACAAACCTTTGTGGACCTCATCTTCCAGAAATCAGTCAACAAGAGAACTTGGAACTGCAACTGCAGCAATTCCCTCCTAACTAGTGCGCACCTGCGGCCTCTGCGGCCTTCCGCAAGCCCGTTCGCAGCTGCTGCGCCATGGGAACTCTCCTGGCTGTTTTGCCTGTTGGTCTTGTTGTGTGTCTTTTCGAGAGAGAACCGACCGACCCAGGGCACACGATGGAAGGAATCGCCCGCAGACGGTGTTGAGTCATGTTTCGATTCTGCGGTGCCTCTCCTGTTGATGATACGCGGTTGATGATATGCGACTCACACTACAGCGCTATCCGTACAGCAGCAGTGTTGCGCTGCGAGCGACAATGAGCAGCAGCAAGTTCGCCACCGTCATGCTGCAGTTTGTGCCGGCGTCTTTCGTTGTCGGAGCCGGCATGGAGCTGTTCATGCTCAACACGGTGAGTGAGTGTTCGTGTGATCGTGTGATCTGTGATTCCCTCAAAAGCCGGGCAAAATCCCGCCGCATTTTCTGTTGACATCTGCTGCCTCCTGTCAGCAGATTCGCGTAGGCGCAATAGCAGCAGCACCGAGCAACAGCAGTGTTTCGCCTCCCGCTAGACTCCAGCTGCGGTCACCGAGTGTAGGCCATGTTCAATGAAGCACTTTTATCAAATTCTGCTGAAGTGATGCGTGTTCAACTCGCTGCTGTTCCCATCTTGCTGACTCGATCAAGCTTGCGATCGATTGATCCAAGCGAGAGACAGAGAGAGACCTCCGCATTTGACTGACGGGATTCCACAACTGCAGCAGCATGTTTTCGTCGCCAGGGCTATACCCGGCAATGTAGCAAGACTTTCCCTTGGGGGGCTATACCGCGCAACTTACATCAACAACGGTGTGCACTGCATCGATGCCGAGATGTTGCTTTTTTCTGACTACCCTACTCTGTGCTCCTTGCTGTACGTCAAAATGCGACGAGGGACATCACATCCTCTCGTTGTATGTATTATTGAAACCCGTGTGAAAACATACCGACGCAATAGCCACCTATGGGGCCCCGGCTGACCCGCCGATGCACCCAGAAAACGCGCCGAAAGGAAAGGTACACAACATCATGTCCAGAATGTATGGGACCACACACACACGCAAACTTTATATCCCATATTTGAATACGAATGACGTGTCTTCATTGGTCAGCCGGTTAGCGCGGTCCGTGCCAGCTATATGAAACACACACACGTCCCTTTCTACATTATGGACGCAAGTCTGCACCAGCCCAGGTCACATAGGGGGAAGATGAACACAGGAATTTTGTTTCTTGGCCTTCCCTCTTTTGTCCTCTGGAGGCACGTGACACGCGCCTTTTCGCGCATTCGTGGTCGATGTTTTCTCCAGGAAACGCACGTAGAGTACATAGCACTCATGAGGAATCATTCACGTCGGCGTAGCATGCGGTTCGCCTCGTCGAATGGAGGGGCACTCTGTTGCTGGCAGCCTGTTCAGGATGTCAAGCCCAATCTTGGTGTGCGTGATGTAGTTTTCGTTGGACTTGAATATCAGCTTCACGCGCCGGCCGCGCGGCCCTCTCTTGTTCATGACCATCCCACCCAGAAGCTCACATTTTGCGCTGCCCTTAAATGCCGCACACATCCCATGGAACGCGATTAATTATTGGAGTGCTGCTGAAAGATGCTGCTGCTGCTCATTCGCTAGTTTTTTGCCGCGTAAGTTTTAAACACACTCCCGCTATTGTCGGTTGTTGTTTAGTGCTGCTGCTCCTGCTGCTGCTTCTGTCCTTGCCTGCATCTGTGTGTAGGGATTTTACGACGTGGCGTTGAGAAAAGAGGCGGAGAGACGGGCGGAAGCAGAGGAGGAATACCAGGTGTGTGTTTGTGTGTTTGAGAGAGAGACAGAACCTCACTTGCGACAAGCGTTCCATCGGCACAATCTGCCTAGAGTGCGTCTTTTTCGACGGGGCCTTGGTCGAATCGTTGTGGCGAAATGTTTGATATGCGAAGCGCATGCGAGCGCAAGAGCACCAGCGTTACCACGCTCGCTCAAGGCGGACTCCGATTGTCCGTCCGAAACCTATGAAGGCACTGCTATCTATCCCGAAATCCTACGATCGGTGACTGTAAAGAAAACAACCTGATAATAGGACAAGCGCATTACGTACCAAGGCACCTGCCCATTTTCTTGCTAGCCATCTTTTCCCGAAACTATTTAAGTACAAAGAGGCGGTTACGCCAGGACGTCTAGCATGTATTCACCACCAAATTTTTCGGTAGTCCATTTTTTTCGGGACGGCCTTTGTGCTGCTCTGTTCTTGATGGTGGTGGTGTTGTTGTTCGTCGCCGTCGCCATCATCCACGCCTGGAAGGTTTGGTGCGGCGGAATCACGCCAGGGTATCTACGATGGCTCACCACCATCCGTCGCGGTGCTCACCTTTTCAGAACGGTCTTTGTTTTTCTCTGTATTTGGTGGTTTGTTGTGGCCGTCGCGTTCGTCCATACCGTAACCGGTTTCAGAGTTGGTTGCGGCGGTGACTGACCATTTTTTTGTCTTTTTTCTTTTGGCATTCCGAACGATATGCCGGGGTGTTCCTCTGGCGATGCAGGCGAGACGAGCTAGGATAGAGGCGCGGAGACGAGCGAGACTCAGCAACAACGGAAGCAGTCCAAGCGGGGGGGGCGGGCGTGGCGAATGATGCGCCGCGGTCTCACCCCCCGCCCCCGCCGGGTAGTGGGGGCGATTCCGACACCATCAACGAAGACACCTCAACAACGGGAGTGCGCCGGCAGGCGTGTCACAGCGCACTGGCTTTTTTTTGGAAATCGGCGATTTTGCGCGTTTGTTTCAAGGAGGTGTAATCACCTTATGGGCCGATGATCTCTCCCTTGCTTCCTTCCCGTTGCTGGCTGAAAAAAACGAGACGTTGTGCATGTAGAGATAATTGGCGAGACTGTTCGAGGGAGGTACATTCACGATATCGGTCGGTGATCTCCCTTGCTGCCTTCCCGTCGTCGGCCGAGAAAAGTTAGTGGTTGTGTGTTTGGAGACATTTTTTCGAGGTTGTTTCAAGGAGGGGTGTTCAAGTTGTGATCTCCCTCCCTTCCTCCGTTCTCGTGGTTGGGAGAGAGGAAGCTGGCGTGTGTGTGTTTGAAAAATTGTTGCGAGGTTGGTTCGATTAGGTGTCTTCAAGTTACCGATCGGTGATCTCCCGCTGCTTCCTTGGCGTGTTGTTGGGAATAGAGAAGCGACAGTGATCCCTCGCCTCCGAGGTGCAGCGCAACTAAGGCGAGAACCGCACTGTAAATAAGATAATATAATGGAAGCGAGTAGACCAAGGTCCGAGGCTATGCGGTCATGTTTTGTTTTTTTTAAGCTGCGCTTTGGAAATATCAACGGCACAGCCGTCTCGATGATTTTTTTTTGGTAGTCCTCCTGATTCCCGTCTCTCTTTGTTGCTTTTGGAGGTCGTTGTGGCGCGGCGGGCAACGAGCTTGCCTGTTTTACCCCGAAAGAGTTACCCCGAAGTAGTGAAAGTGGACTTCATCAGCGAGATGCCTGCGCATTCATCGTGTTTGACCGCACGACGGCGCTCTTGTTAGCGCTGCCTCAGCCCGTCCTTCATCGAGGCCCAAGCTGGAGCCTTTGGCAAGTGTGGCTTATGTTTGTGGGGGCCGGCGCAGGCTTGCATGCAGGAAAAGCAACCACGCTTTCCGCGTAACCAGCCAACACTTGTGTGCTGTATCTTGCTGGTTGTCCTGTGGGTCGCAGGTAGTGGTACCATGTTTGTTGGTGTGGTTGGTGCTGTGTAGACATTTTCGCATTTTTTTAGCTACGCCCAATTTAATGCTACCCCTCCGCGAGGAGTTCATCTGTCTCAGTAAGAAAACCGTCGGGCCATGGACCGATTTATCTACAGTACCTACGACCCGCCTTCATTGCTCGGCTAGACTACACGTATGATATCCATGCGTAGTGTTAGCAGCGAAAAAGGCTAACCCTCCGCTCACCTTCGTAGCTGAGTACCGTAGACCGGTTCTTTGGGGCTGGGGATCAGCATGAACCAGGCTTACCTTCATCTGATCTTCATCTTTGGTATTCTCCTTCTCACGCATGCATAGTGTAATTGACAAGTACTGTATTATGGTCACATGGTGACCACCCCCCGAGGAGACGCAGATAGTCATAGCTTCACCTCCAGAGAAGCGATTGACACGCGGACGGTATCACGCCGTTCGCACAGAGCAACAGACCCGGACGAGGCATGCATGCGGTAGACAGAGAAATATAACGTTCATACTATTTACGGGATTTTCATCTTCTCTTTCACGTGGGGGGTGTTGGGTAAACACCGGGTTTTTGACGACGTTCGCGAAAACTTGCCATAAAGAGACATGTGGAAGCCGTCCCTTCGGCGTAGATGCGGCACAATAAAAAAACGTCGCCTCTTCGACACCTCTAGAGGGCAAACAGGGAAGCGTCCAACCGCTTCGATTCCTGTTTATCGCCCCCTTACCCCTAGCGCAACGACCAGTACGAGCGTGGTGTTCGCACCCGGACAACCGCGACCCATCATAGTACTTTGTGCTGACTCTGCACGGCGAAGCCGGCGAAACAATCGAGTCTTTTCCTCCGTCAGGATATCTTTCCTTCCTCAACAGCACTCCAGGAAATAGTGACCCTTCCCCCCTCAACAGCACTCCTATACTATTGCAGCTTGGAGGCATTATTTGTTTTCATCTCCAGCGCGGCTTGTCCTTAGCCGACGACGGCGCCCCGTCCCTGCTCCAGGAGGACCTCCTCCCGATTCCGTCGATTGACTTCTTGGCGCACGACTTTGCCAAACCGGCGGCGATCCTTGCGCTCCTGCGTGTCAAGCGAAGTGTTTTAAATAACGGTGCGAGATAAGAGTCCGGGATGCGCGCGATGAGAGATACATAGCCGGGGATGCGAGGCGCAAAGGGGGAATTTTGAGGGGTCCAGCGGCGATATCAGGCCGTACATATAGCCGCGGTGATTGGGCCGGTGTCTCTCACGCGTTTGAACCACCTGATAAGAGACGTGGATTGTTGACGACCGTGCCAACAAGTGCTTGCTCGCACCCCGTCACACCTCCACGCGTCGGAGGCAAGGCATGCATTTTCCGTGTTTCCGGGCTGGTCTCGGTGGCCAACGACGTGCGACTCACAACTATCCCACACGAGGGGGCGGTGGTGAGTTTGGGGTTGTCCAAAAAACGACAGCAGCAGTGCAGTTGTCGCAAAAGCATGCGAGTCGTCACCGCAACTGTTTGCGTACCTCCTGGTGGTGGGCGCTGTCGTTGCCGGTGCCGGTGCCCCCTTCGTCGACGGCTCGACGGATGCCCGGTTGGAAGCAGCCAAGACGCTCCGCGTCCTCACAGACCTCGTCGACGCGCAAGTCGTCGCCGCCGCCGCGGCCGCAGCAGCGGCTCCCTTCTTCTCCCTGCCGGATACCCGTCGCGTGGACGCCTGGGTGCTGCTCGAGGATGTTGTCTTGCGTGCTTCCGCGGCCTGCGCGAGCATGGACATCGTCTTGCCGCCGCCGGCCGGAGTCCTGAAAGCAAGACAGGATAACGGCGGAAGGAAAAAACCGAGAGCACGTACACACGAAAATGTTCGGCTGTCTGTCAAGAGAGGGCTGCTCACGACGAACGAACGTGCGGACACTTGGAGAGCGCAGAAAATGAGTCCATACACGTGGAAGCTAAATAAGTTCTACAGTATCGGCAGCAACAGCAGAGGTCCCCGCAAGTAAAAAGCTTTCTCACCTCCGGACGGTCGAGAGCCTCTCCTCCGCGCCTCCTTTGGCGTGCGACCCTCCAGTGGCCGGGTTCTCCTTATCAAGGGTGAACCCTGCCGGGCGACCCACCGGAGAAGAAGAAGAAGCAGCAGCTGCTCCGCTCGCGCGTGCCGACCCGTAGGTCGCCTTGTTGAGCAGAACGGATCCGAAAGGCGACCGTGCTGCGCCGGGGCCAACGCCGCCCACCCGTGACGGCGACGCCACCCCCGAGACCCCGCTCAACCGCCTGGCCCCCAACGGCAGCCTCGTCCCGGCGTTGGCAGAGACGCTAACCGCCGCCGCCGCCGCCGCTGCCGCCGCCGCCGCCGGTGCGTCCGCAACCTCGTCGAGCGAACTGGACCCTAGCTGCGATCCCCGGAGGAACGCAGGACCGGCAGCAGTGCCGCCGAGCACCCCTGGCGCGCCAACCGACGCCACCATCTCGAGCACCCCGCCGCGTCTCAACGGCGACCCGGCCCCAAACACGGCGGCAACAGCTGCGGCGCGGTCGGCGCCAGCACTCCTCCTCTGCCTGACGGAAGCCGCGGAGACCGCGTGCACCGGCGAGCTCCCCGACGGCATCGGCGACACGGCGCCCCCGCCTTGCGAAGCTCTCCTGGCGGTGGTCTTGGTGCCCGCCCCGGTCGGCGGCGGAGAAGTTCCGACACGAGACGCCGCGGCCCCGCCGGAACGTGCCGGCACGGCGGCGGTACCCTTGTCTGTCGATGCCTTCCGGGCCGGGGTCTCTTGAACGTTGGTGCTGCTCGGCTTCAGCGGCGTGGTCGTGGTCGTGGTGGCGGCAGCGGCGTCGGTGGCGGCTGCGGCAGCAGCTTCCGCAGATTGGAGCCGTCCTTTTTCCACGGCGTTCGCGTACCCGGGCAGCGGGCGCGCCGGCGATGCCATGGCGGTAGCGGCGGCGTGGAAGCGCATCGGTGGCCTCTGCTTCTCCTTCCCGGAGGAGGAAGCGGGGGTGGTGGTGTTTGAGGCGCTGCTTGCCCTCCGCTCACGTTCGATGATCCCCTTCGGGGCTGATCCTGGCGAGGGCATGAACGGCGGCACCGCAGAGGTGGAAGGAGACCTGACGCCGACGACGACAGCGGCGGCGGCGGTGGGGGTGGTGGCGGCAGTTCCCGCGAGGAGTGGAACGGTAGACTTGGGAGCCGGAGAGGTACCGGCGACGGCGACGGCGACGGCGGCGGCGGTGGGGGTAGTTCCCGCGAGGAGTGGAACAGCAGACCTGGCGGTCGGAGAGCTACCGGCGGCGGCGGCGCCAGCGCCATCGGTGACGGTCGGGGTAGTTCCCGCGAGGAGTGGAACAGCAGACACGGCAGTCTGAGAAGTACCGGCGGCGGCGGCAGCATTGGCGGTGGGCGTAGTTCCCGCCAGGAGTGGAGCAGAAAACCTGGGGGTCGGAAAGCTACCGGCGGCAGCGGTTGCGGTCGTGGTCGTGGTTGCGGCAGTTCCCGCGAGAGGAACAGTAGACTTGGGAGCCGGAGAGGTACCGGCGGCGGCAGCGGGGGCGGTAGCGGTAGTTTCCGCGAGGAGTGGAACAGCAGACCTGGCGGTCGGAGAGCTACCGGCGGCGGCGGCGGCGGCGGCGGTAGCGGTAGTTCCCGCGAGGAGTGGAACAGCAGACACGGCAGTCTGAGAAGTACCGGCGGCGGCGGCAGCATTGGCGGTGGGGGTAGTTCCCGCCAGGAGTGGAACAGAAAACTTGGGGGTCGGAAAGCTACCGGCGGCAGCGGTTGCGGTCGTGGTCATGGTTGCGGCAGTTCCCGCGAGTGGAACAGTAGACTTGGGAGCCGGAGAGGTGCCGGCGGCGGCGGCAGCGGCGATGCCGTCGGGGGACGGGGCGGGGCAGGTGGCGGGAGCATCTACGGTGGGGGCGGCAGAAGGCGTGGGCGTGTCAACCAAGTGACATGGTACAACGATGGTGTTTGAGGCGGTGCCCACCCTCCGCTCACGCTCGATGATCCCCTTCGGGGCTGATCCTGGTGAGGGCATGACCGGGGGCACCGCAGAGGTGGAAGGAGACCTGGCGCTGACGACGATAGCGGCGGTGGTGGTCGCGGTGGACATAGTTGCCGCGGGTGGAACAGTAGCCGTGGGGGTCGAAGAGGAACCGGCGGCGGCGGCGGCGGCGACGGTAGCGGTAGTTTCCGCGAGGAGTGGATGAGTAAAGACCGGAGTCGGAGAAATACCGGCGGCGGCGGCAGCAGCGGTGGTGGCGGCGGTGCCGCTGGGGGGAGGGGCGGGATAGATGGCGGGAGCACCCACGGTGGGGGCAGCGGAACGCGTGGGCGTGGTAGCCGAGTTGCGTACAGCGATGGAGTTTAAAGCAATGTCCACCTTCAGCTCACGCTCGATGATCCCCTTCGGGGTGGATCCTGGCGAGGGCAGGACCGGGGGCACCACAGGGGTGGAGGGAGACTCGACGCCGACGATGACACCGGCGGAGGTGGTGACGGCGGCGGTAGTTCCCGCGAGAAGTGGAACGGTAGACGCGGGGGGCGGAGAGGTGCCGGCGGCGATGGCAATTCCACCGGGGGAAGGGGTGGGGCAGATGGCGGGAGCATCCGAGGTCGGGGCGGCAGAAGGCGTGGGCGTGGTGGTCAAGTTGCGTGCGGCGGCGAGAACGCCGGAAGGCGTGGAAGCTCCGTTGTTGTTTGAGGTGCCCACGGCGGCGGAAGTCGTCGGGGAGGCTACGGCATCGTCGGGGTTGTTGGCCCCACAACAAGCGTCGGTCGGTGGAGAGAGAATCTCTTCGCTGCGTGAAAGGTCGGGGACACCGGTGGTGCCCGTTGCGGAGGCGCCCACGCTCTCGTTGCCGGTGACTGGAGACGACAGGTCGATCGGCATCACCGGTGGCGGGCTGGTGGTGGCTGCTGAGAGGAGGTTGGTGACGGTAGCGGTGGCCGAGTGGAAGGGAGTAGGGGCGGACATCGTGGCCGCAGTAGTGGCAACAGAAAGAGCCTGATCATCCCCGGCTGACACAGGGACCGGGGCAACCCCGATCGGCTCGTCAGCAACGGTGGCAGTGACACCGGTGGTCGTTGCAGGGGTGGTGGCTGGGGCGGTAGGGGTCGCGCTATCGCCATCATCGTCGCCGAACACGCCGGCCGCAGAGAGGCAAATCGCCTCCGCGGCGGCGGCAGCAACGGCTGCAAGGTCCAGCGACTGCAGGCTCCCGGAAAAGCTCCCGTCTGCGGCGGTGGCAGCGGCCGCAGCAGCGGGTGCAGCGAATGGGGGGGCGGAGGAGGGGTCCACGCTGCCGTGCGCGGCGGACGCTAGCGAAATTTGCGACCCTGTCGAACGCAGGAGGAGCGACGAGAGTCCAGCGGGAGGGGTGCGGGGAAGAAGGGTGGTTGCCGAACGGGGGGGTGGAGGCGTGAACGGCGGTACCGGGTCCATCGCCCCCGTGGCCCCATGCTTCAGGCCTGAGGCGGATTTCTGGACGTCGAGCAGGCGGGGGTGGCTGTTAGTTGTGGTTGCTTTTTCTCGCGATGGCCAGATGGATGGTGGTGGCTGCGTCGATGCGAATGAATTAAACTTTAGCAACGTGAGGGGGACTTCACACACACACATCTATTTCTGACAAAGGGCCCACAACACGTGACATAAATCCAGCCAGGAGGAAGTTTCTCGAGACAAGAAGAATGATAGACAGAAACGAAAAAAAAAAGGACCGGACACAAGCAAGCACGCGTGGACATTCGTTCGTTCGTTCCTTGGTAAACAAACGAAAACACACAACCAACACATCGTTTTCTGCTTTCTTCGTGGTATATTGCCCACCCATTTTGTTAGTTCCAGGTGGATGTCCCCTGAAAGGTTGACTAGGACGTCTTCCACTACCCTGGTGACGCCGGTCATCATCTGTGTCTTGGCCTGTCGTTTGCAATACAACCCGGCCGACGACATCGAGAAGGAGAGATGGTGAAGGGGAGGAGACGAAGAGAGCAATAATAGCAACGTCGGGCGTAGAGAGTTCGAGGAGAGAGGGGAGAGGGGAGGAGAGGAACAACACCGAGAATTGTGCCCATCTATCTGTCGCATTTCGATACGGTAGTACAGCAGTAGTAGCAAAAAGTTGTCACCTTTTTCAACACCTGGTCGATGATAACTTCGAACGCGCTCATGGGGACCTGGTCCTCCTCGTCTTCCAGCCACTGCGGTTTCTGTTGCTTCTGCTGGTGCTGGTGCTGCTGTTGGTTGTTGCCGTTGTTGCCGTCGATTCCGGGTGCCTGCCGCGCGTGTGAACAACATGAAGAGAGGTACCATCTTAAGGAGGTGCAATCATTCATGAAATGCAGAGCGGTGGCAGGTCAAGGGGTAGCCAACTGTCCAACTGGAATTTTAATCACCGTATATGACACAAAATAACACACATCCTGGACCAATTTTCTAAGCTCGATTACGCCACGAAGGAGGAGGATGTACAAATGAAATAATACATTTATTTTCGGAAAGCTCTCGACGAGACAACTTCAACGCCACCACCGTTTTCGGCGCTGTGACTCTTTCTGTTGTTGAGAAATCGAGATTTGAAAATCAGTCCAGGGCATTTACGGTAGGCTGATGAGTGGATTGGTGTTTTCGTCGCTGGCTTATTGCAGTGGCACAAAATTAGTCTCGGTCAATCGAGGCACATTATTGCCCCCCACGTGTGGCAACGAGGAGAGCTAAAGTAGCCCCCTTTTGTCTCTACCCTTCATGAAGAAGGAGACGAGAGGGAACCCGCAGCTCCCACCAGTCTTTAAGCACACGAGGTACTGCCTGTAGAGCCCATACAGACACACCGACATTGTTATTATAGTATCTCACCGAGAAGCAACCACTGAAGGGGGGCTCATCGTCGTCGTCGTCGTCGTCGGAGAGCAGGAGCCTCTCTGTGGTGGTTGTGTTGAAGTTGGGGCCGCCGGTGCCAAAGGTTGGTCCATCCCGAAGTTCTCTTATCACCGACGTTTCCCAAAAGTCGCTGCCGCCGAAGCCGTTGTTGCCGCCGTTGAGGGGCAGAGGAGACACGGCGAGAGTGGGAGGCACGTCGTCGAGGATGATGTTGCTGATGGCCAGCAGCGCGGAGCAGGCGGCTTTATCATCGTCCGTCACGGCGACTGCGCCTGACGATGGCAGCGGGGGGCTGGGCACGGAGGTTGGCCCTTCGCCCTGCTGCTCCTCCTGCTCCTCCTCCTGGTGGAGGTCACCATCATCATCGTGGCCGACGACGCTGGAAGAAGATCCGGCGGTGGCGGGCGAGTCGACGGTGATGATGGCGGACTGAACGGAGTGGTTGGCGCCGCTGGAGGGCGAGAAGTCGAACCCGAGTCCGCTCTCCAGAGAGAAGCGGCCGATCGGGGTCCCGACGTCGGCGTACATGTCCAGAAGGGTCTTCTTGACGGTGTCGCCCTGTGGGGCGTTCTTGCTGCCGCTCAGCGGCGAGTAGACTGCGCGCTGTATGGTGTCAGGGGATGGACACACAGCAGTAGCGCGCGCATCGACACATGGATGAGACAAAGATCGACGGGTAAAAAGGAGAAATGGGGGGCGACGGCGGGGGGAGAATGAAACGAGTGCCGTTGGCAGCAAACCTCTCATCCTTTTTGGCTCCAAGAATGTCTGTAACACACTTACTGGACTACTTACTGCTGTAGTGCTCTTCTTGCACCATCTACTAACTAACTTCACTGTACTCTTCATCTCTCTCTCTCTCTCCTACTTTCTTCCGTTCGTTGTTCCTCAAAATGAGTACCGATTTGTTGTTCCGGTTTGGTGTACTGTACATACAAACAAGGCCTTAGGCTACAGCGTTAGAGAGTTCTGTTCTGTCGTGCACCAATTTTGTTCTGTCGTTCCACGAGCGGCGCGTGGATTTTTTTCCGTGTGTGCCACAACTGACATCGCCAGCGCGCCTTCAGAATTCGGTGGGGGCGGAGCGATGTTTCTGTGTGCCGGCGCCATCTTCTTTGTGGCTCACCACATCATTCACGGAGAGAGAATCAGCAAGATTGAGCCGCAAAAAACACCAACGGCCGAACAAATCTGCCAGACAGACTGCTGTTGACGGCACACCCCTCCCTCTCTGTCTGTGGATCTGCTCTGGACCGGAAAAGAGAGAGAAGGGTGACCACCGAGACAATCAGAAGAACGCCCTTCTGCTGCCTCTGTGCCAGCCAGAGAGAGAGAGAGAAGAAGGCTACACGCACATTTTGGCGCGCGCGCGTGTTTGTTTGTGTGCCCCAAACGCAAGCCATTTTGATTTGCAGGAAGAACAAAGTTCATCACTGCTGCTGTGACAAAACGTTGTTCGTTCACGAAAAGTGATTCTGGATCACCGCCGCCAGGGAAAAGAGAAAGAGAGGATGACACCGGAACGACTTCAAAATAAAAGTCTTCTGCTATGTGCGTACGCACCCTGTGTCATCACGCACCGCGCCAACGAGGGGTATAGGGGTACACGCATATATGTACATGTATAGTCTGGAGGAGCAGGATCGCGACCTCCATCATTTATCACTCACGAGTTGGTTCTTGATACAGGGCGAAACTCCGGCGTGTTCCTTCTCCAGCTGCTCCCGCACCTGGGTCCGAGTGTCCTTCTTGCGAGAGGGGGAGAGGGTGGCGGAAACGTTGAGCATCATGATGGTGGTGGTGGTGGTGGTGGTGGTGGTTGGTGATGAAAGTCTCGCTGGCTTGACTTGTCGGTTGGTTGACAGGTTGCTGTGGGAGGCTTGTTGTGTGGTGTGTGGCAAAAGAGAGGAAGTACCGAGAGATGGGGAGAGGTGCACGGAGAGGGGAAAAGAGATGGACTCGACACGCACGACCCGAGTGTCATAGAAGAAAACTACTTGGTGGCTTGAATTGCTCAACGGCTCGCTCGAACAAACGCTTTTACGTCACTTTTCTTGGTCTTTGTTCCAGAGGATCTGACTCTTCTTGGTACGGGCCAGCATCTCGACTGTCTCCAGGCGATGATTCGGACCACGTGGATGGTCAGCAGATGAATCTTGAACTCTAAAATAATCCCTCCGGTTTGTTTGTTCTCTTTCTTGGATCTTTCACCCGCAGTAGAATATTCGTTGTTTCTTGTTGTTTTGTTGCTGCCGCTGTCTTCAAGTTCAAAACCGTCCTCTGTCCTGGGTCTCTCTGCCCAGCTTGCCGTCTAATGTAATATCCGTACTCTACTGGTTGGTCCCCATATGAACCAAAGGCGCCTTCCTTCACAGGCTTAGCTCTAGTGGGCAAACATACATGCATGATGTGTTATAGAAAGAACCCAGCAGGGAAAATAGAAATACCCGCTTTTTGTTTTTTTTTTCTTATTAATATGACACAACGAATCCATCTATCTCTATCATAGAAAGGAGTCGGAGACAGATTAGAAATGAATTCATAGCGTCAGAAAGTACCTGTATGTCTACGGTTCCCCAGACAGCATATATATAGGGACATCTCCCCTGCGGGTAACAGGCTCACAAGACAGTTTGGTAGCTGTCTTGTGTGTCTCATATATGTTACAATGTTGGGAAGGTGCAGAAGAAATAAATGTGCTCGGTACTGGTCGGGCGTTTATTCGCGTGTGGCACCCTTTTGTGTGTGGCACCCTTTTTTCCGACCGAACGAAAGTGGTATGCAGCATGGTATGCCACCTGCTGCGTGATTGCTGTTGTTGTCGTCACATTATACGGTACGGTAAAAATGATGTTGATGAAGCCCCGGAAAATAACACAGCTCGCGGTGTGTGCGATCACGAATTTCATCCAATATATATGAAGAGAGAGTTCCACGTTCCACGCCTTTTCCCCATAGTATCTAACAGACACGAGTACGGGGGGGGTGTTGTGGTGAGGACATCAATCGGGGAGTTTCTGCCTTCTTCCATGATGAGCATCATAATTACTGCTGTGTACCACGTAGTTTCGATAAACAGACATGGCAAGACGTGTCTCTTGAGCCAGGGCGACACTGCTGTACTCTGTAGACAACTAAATACATGCTTTATGTAAGTTCCCACACATTCATTTATTTACTGAAGTGTGGTTTTTGATGCCCCCGTCGCGCAAGTCATCGCCAGGCATCCGTATGTATGGATACGTTGTAGCTGGCGCCTTGGCATAAAACACCAAGTTCAAGTTAGTAGTGCTTTCATGAACGAACAAGGTGCCAAACGCTGGGACCGCGAAGACACCGCCGGCGTTGTTGCTGTTGAAAATCCCCAAGTGATATTCTTGACATCGGATTTGACGCCTCTCTCCGTATCTATTATCTGCGTGGACGCGCGAAGACAGGAGAACGGACTCACAGACATAATAAGAAAACGCGAAACTCAAAAAAATAATAAAGACGACCCGACAAAGAACGTCAGGCACCGACTGAGGTGCGTGCTACCCTACGTCAACAGCGTTGGTGACGGAAAACTTGCTCCCTCATATGCATAGATAGTACTGACGACGACGACGACAATAAAAGACATTTTCGAGCGACGAATGCACAGCTAGCTGTCAATCATGTCCTGGCTGACCGAGCAGCCCGGCTTCTTAATGGTTTTTCCCGCCCGCCCTTCTTCTTGTTAACCCCTTCGCTATGCGAGGGTCTACGACGCCCACCCGTGAATGATTATACAGCTGTCACGACTACGATACACCCCATCCATCCATCCATCCATCCATCCAATGCGCGCGCTCGCACCATCCTAGCCAATACATCCATGTACTAATGTACCCCCCTCTACCGGTATCATATGCGCCGCATTCCCCGTGCGCCGTGGAGGTAGAAACCCCCGTTCAGGCTGATTTACCGGCGCCCCCCCTTCCCACCCCGCGACAGGAAATGCCACCGACAATCAACTATGCGGGACTAGCGCTGACCGGTTCAACAAGAAAACAACCGAACGCAAGCACGTTACCCAACCTCTAGCAGCGCGTTGGTCTATCCCCCCCCCCCCCCCACGCACAACAAACAAAAAGACAAAAAAGTGGCGTGACAAATAAACGGAACTGGCGACGTTCGTTCCACTTCACTCGACGATGAAGCTGTTATTCTATGTAGGCGTCACCCGCCGGGCTGGCTGAACGAGAGTGGCCACAGGTGGCACGCAGCTGTTTCCTGATTGGTCAAAAAATCGTGCGGCGCAATCACAGGCGGGACGCATCTATCGAAACGTGGGGCACGCGCACCACGCACGGCCCCACAAGGTCTCACCCCCAGAGCGCAGCCAAGCCTTGCACAGCCCGTGGGCGTGATACAGGGGCAGCAACATCAGCCACAGAGCATGAAGGCACCGACCACCACACATTCAAGATGAAAAAAATATCCACGCTTGCCTCTGGCCGAAACGACGGTGATTGGCCTATCCATACACACACACATCACAACCAATAACACTTCGTGTAGCTTCACCACAGCATCTGTGGTGGACGAGAAGCATACCCAACTATGAAAAAAAAAAAAAAGAGGATAAATATCAGGACAGCAAAAATCTTGCCCTACAAATGCGTACAGAAAAAATACGGAGAGTCATCGAAAAAACTTGAGATGCAGTTCTGCTCCATGGATTTGACTATTTATCTGTGAGAGATAAGGTCGGGTGCCGCGAGTGGTGATGGGGGAGGGGGGGGGGGGGGGGGGGGGGCTCGGTCCAAAAAAAATAAAAAAAAAAAAA